GCTGAAATCTAATTTTTCAACCAAATTTCATAAATTCTTTTGAATATTCTTAGATCTCCTAGTATCAGTAAATATTCATGTAAATAAGATGATTACATGAAATCTTGCAGATGAATGCTACATTATTTTTCCCTCTGATCCTCCTAACATATTATTATGTGTAGGGATTGGTATTGGCTGTAAAATTTATTTAAAATTAAGGTTTTTTGTAAAGCCTATGCATCAAGTTTATGTGATAAAATATTGTATCCTTCTTAAAACTAGTTTATCAGAATGAGAATGAGCTACCAGGTACAAGTATGCCTGATGATAGTTTCCATGTTTGAAGAAAGTCACTGCCTTCTAAAATCCTCAATTCCTTTGCCCTGACAGCCCGAGCTCGTCAAAACATTGCCAACTCAGGAGTGAAATTTTCCATATCCCTGACTAACTATTTTGTAATGGTGTTGTGGAAAGTGGTTGGGTTGAAATACAATAGGTACAAATACAAAGACTTGCCAGTAAATAGTCAAATGAAACCTAGTTACATATCAATAAAATTTGTTGTTGCATTTCATGTTAACATCTTGCAACAATTCACCTTCCAGTAAATTCAATTATTTGCAAACATGAGAAGACACCATCTGAAACTTTATAACCCATTTAATATAGTCAACATCAACTCAACTTTTAAACTTAAGACTGAGAAAACATGATTGATGCAGGACAACAATGTATGGCAATGAGTTTGTGCTCTTTGATTTACAGTAACACAAAGGGGATCAGCTCTGCAAATGATCATATATCTTACAAATAAATTTTTATTATTCTTATTGGATGACAATCTCTACTATTAAATCCTTGAAATATTATCATATTGTAATTAGTAGATATATACCCTTGCAAACTGAATTCTCAGTTTTCTGGAATTCTCAAAAATTCCCAACTCTGCAAATAAGTTCTGATTTGAAAAGCTTGGAATTACTGGGAATTTCTGGGAAAGGAAGACTCCAGTTGTGTGAGGACTTGAAATTCCTAGGAATTCTCAGCTATACAAACTACCTATAATTTAAGAAGGGTGGAATTCTTGGGAATTTCTGGGAATTGAATCTGAGGCAATTTAAATACCCTGAGGTCCAAATTAATTCCAAGAAATTCTCAATACCTTGAATGGGAAGGTTTTAAGAAGAGGGGTAATGTTAGAGGCTTAAAACTTTGGCTCAATAAAAGGTATGCTATACAACATTTACCAAGCGATATACATACATGTATATGTTTACGACTTAAAGATCATGAAATTTATTATTCAAACTAAGTTTACAGTAAGTAAATCTCTAGATTAATATGGATTTTCTCATGAAGCAGCAGTCAATTATGTTAAATGCAAATTGCCAATTAATCCAATGTATTCATATCACAGATTTGCTTTCTACCCTCAAAGGACTCTTGGATTCCATAATAATACAAGTTTTTATTGTGATGCAAAATGTCTCATGGTCACAGATGTGCCAAAATCATCAAACATTTCCTTTCATAATCTAATTTCTTAAATGTCCCAAAAATATTACTTCTTTTCATTTTGGTGTGAAATACAGGTCCTTCTTTATATAAAAAATGAAAAGTGCAAGTCACGCTTCAATAATAACAGCTCTAAAGTTTATTTGTTGTTCTTCCCTGTCTGTCAGCTATCAACAAAATTGTTTTACACTTCGGACAGTGCATAACCATTTGTGGACCAGAGTTCCAACGCACCTTTGTAATCGCATATAGTTGCTTCTGTCTCTTGTACAAATGTTTCTCCTTTGTGAGACGCGCTCTCCTCTGTTGGCACCACTGCTTTAAGTTCAGTGGAAACGACAGACTGAGGAATCGAGATAGCTGTTTAGGTACTGATACACTGTGATCATCTATGTATCTCTTATACTTCTTAATGTGGTATCCTTCTTTTTTAAAAATAAGGGTAAAAGACGATTTGTAGTCGCATTCAAACTTGTGATTGGCTTGTGTTATTTCTCACCTTTGCCATGAGCACACTCAACTTTCGGCCTCAAATCGTGCATTTGTAGTACGATCGATTCTTTTCGATTATTTCTACACAGTGTGAGCTCACATCATTACTTATATCACCGTCAGCACATGGATCCAATGTGTCCATCGTCCAGAAGCAGAAAATCGGTCGGAGTAGTCAAAATAAAGTTGTGCGCTTCTCTTGAAAGCCAGCGGATTCACTTTACTAGCCAATGAAAAGTCTTAAAAAATCCACGTGATCATGCTCGTGATCGGAAACAAAGAAGACTCCATTTGGCGCTCATCTTTGAAGTACTTTTCATCTCGCTCGTGTGTGAAGTTATTTCTCTTCTCAACTGTTTTGCCTAATATAACATTTCTAAAGAAAGGTTTTATTGTGGTTCAATGGGAAAACGAGAACAGCGTGAGCGTTGTAAATGAAAAGAAAGTCGTTGGCGCCGTGGAGTTAAAAAAAAGAAAAAAAGTTGACACATTGGTACAAACAAGGGTCGAGTGGCCATTTATGAAGCTACAATTTTGAAAGTTTGTGGTGAGTAAAAATTGCGATATTCTTTACGTGATTCTTTTTCTTTACGTGATCAAAATCTTATCAAAGAATAGACATAAAGGCTTGAATTAAGCTTACATAACGCCCGGCGCAACTGAAACTAGAACAATTCTGAGAATCGAATCGATCACCTGCATGCTGCAGTTTCTTAAGCTTATGCTTTACAATGAAATAAATCTATCAGTAAGGTTTCAAGATTACTTTAGTCACATTTTGGGAACATTCAAGATTCATAATTATGAATCTTGTATTAATACAAGCTGTGATTAAACAAACCTTATTACATAAAGAAGCCCTCCTTGGTAAAAACAAAATACTGTATTCAGCCCTTTTTTAGTAAAATCTATGGTTAGATACACTAACTCCAATATAAAAGTCATTCAATATAACAGAGATTTCCCAATCCCAATGCACTTTGTTAAATTGAGATTCCAATGAATGCTCTTTTCCTTATAGCTATCTAGGGCCTTGTTTGCGCTTTTAATATATATTCATATATATGTATATATATTTTTTTCAAATTCAGATGTCATGGAATCCAGATACAAAATGGTCAAGCTTCTTGCAGACAACCTAATTCAAGGCCAACAGGGAAAGCTGTGAGCCCAGGAAAAAAAGACAAACAGCAGCTAAGTCTGCAGTTTAAGATAACCTTATTCTAATTTACTGTTACAGTTACAACAAGATTTTAATTAAAAAATAAATTGTATCTAACTGTAATTAACCCCTTCACTCCCTAGAGTGCTAGGTCAAAATTTGAGAAGAAATCTTTGAATGTCAATGTGCAGAATCAACAAAAACAAAGAGTAAAACATGAAGGTGCTGCTTGACAGCTTACATTTGAGTGTTCACACAAGAGTTTTATCCAAATACTACATAAAATCAAGTCAAAGCCTTCTCTGGGAGTGAAAGGGTTAACTACCATTTGTATCATCCAAAATTAAATGATTCATTTAAAGACTATTTTTAGACAGATAGTATTTATTGCCATAAATTCAATTTAAGATATTGTATTTTATGGAAAAGAATCAACAGATTAGGACTATTTCACATGAATAGCTGTCATTGAGGATTAATTTATATGAAGTTTTCAAGAAAATAAAAATGAATCAAATTCCATCCTGATATTACAACATGTTGATGTCAATATACAATCAAAAATATTATACATATAAACCTTAATTAAGCTTGTAAATAAATTTCATTGAATACTTGAATTTTAGCTGGGATTTTCCAATTTTCAGTATTTATTTTATATTAGTAGCCTCAAATTTTTTCTTAAAATTCCCAGTAATTCTCAAACATTCCTAGAAATTCCTGAAATTTTTTAGATTTACAGCTTTTCAGGGAAAGCCATTGGTGCTCTGAGTTGTAATTCCTAGGAATTCCAAGTCCTGTTGGCTATAATATGGGAATTTCTGGGAATTTTTGGGAATTTCTAGGTTTTTAGAGCCAGAATTGTTAAAGTTGGGAATTCCTAGGAATTCCTAATCTGAATTTAGCATGAAAATTCACACCTCTAATTCCTAGGAATTCCAAAATCCATTTTGCAAGGGTAATCATATGAAAAAATATTAAAACTGTTATAATCACACAGTTGGTCTTTTTCCTCATTGCTTATATACAGAATGAAAACAATTAGATAATTTTCATATACAAGTGAAAATTTGCAATTACTGTAATTGGTAGACTGATTTTTTTAGTTCATTATCAACTGCTACAAACTAAAAATTCATTTTTCATTCAAGGGCAAATGAAAATAGTGGTTTTGATTAGAGTGATTTCAATAAGCCGGGGTATTGCTAATGAATCACATAAAAGTTATAAGATGCTAAATGCTTTGTCATCTTTTGTTTCTTTGCATGTTTAGGGTGATTTTCATTTGCCCATGAAAGAAAAAAATTACTATTTAGTTTGTAGTAGCTGATAAAGAACAAAAGGAAACAAAAGATTCACATTACACCACAACTATTAGTTACCCTATTCTTTCACTGAAAATGAAAATCACTCTAAACGCTCTCAGGTAATTAGTATTCACATGGAATCACCCTATCCGATTAACCAAACTGTATCAATAACAGCATACTAGCCTTGTAACTCCAAAGTATACTATCCCTGTACTTGAAATGGAAACAAACAAAATGTCCTCTGTGTAAGATGGTGATGCACTATTTCATCAAATATATTTCATTATACGTGTTTATACTTCAATGGTCATTCCCCTAATGGATTTTTTAAGGAATAAATAAGGATAATGTTTAAAAATTCCAACTGGCAGAAAGCAGATCAGTTGGCTACACTAGCTATACAAAGCTCAGCCGAGGAATTGAACTTGGGGAAACCACGAACAAATCCAGGGAGTACCAGAGTGGAGGGCTTGAGGTTAAAGCAACCGTGATTAGCACCCGATTTAAATGCTTAGCCGATTCCGTTTGACTTCTTTTCTCTAAAAAGAAATGGTGGCCAGTACTTTATTGACTTTCATTGCCTCAACGATGAATGTTGTACCAGCATCACCAAAGTGGTTTTCCATTAGGTTCAAATACTCTAGAGTTTTGTTGACTTTAATAGCTTCTGCAAATGACTCTACACCAGCATCCCCGATGCGATTGTTTGATAACTTTAAAACAGTCAAAGTTTTGTTCACTTTAATAGACTCAGCAAGTGAAGTTGCGCCTGTGTCAGCAATGTTGTTGAAGCTCATTTTCAATTCTGTTAGGGCTTCATTAACCTTAATTGCCTCAGCAATAGAAGTAGCGCCAGCATCACCAATGGCATTATTTGACAATTCCAAATCAATCAAAGTTTTGTTGACCTTAATGGCCTCAGCAATGGAAGTAGCATCAGCATCGCCGATACCACTCGACGACAGCTCCAGGGCCACTAGGGTGTTGTTGACTTTAATTGCTTCAGCAATAGAAGTGACACCAGTGTAGCCAAAGCTGTTCTTCCATAACCCCAGTTCTTTAAGTGCTTGGTTGATTTCAATCGCCTCAGCAATAGCAGCAACACCAACATCACCAATATCATTGTTCGACATCTCTAAAACGGTCAGAGTTTTGTTGACTTTCATTGCCTCAGCAATAAGAATAGCTCCAGTGTCACAAATGCCACAGTTGGACAACACCAAAACGCTCAAAGTTTTGTTGAATTTAACTGTTTCTGCTATGGATGTAGCACCAGCATCACCAATATCATTGCTAGACAACTCTAAAACGGTCAGTGCTTGGTTGAATTTCACTGCTTCAGCAATAGAGGTGGCACCAGCATTACCGATGTCATTACAATTCAGTTCCAAAGAAGTCAAAGTTTTGTTGACTTTTATTGCCTCAGCAATGGAAGCAGCACCAGCATCACCGATGTCATTGTTTGACAACTGCAAATCAGTCAAAGCTTTGTTGACTTTAATTGCGTCAGCAATGCAAATGACACCGGCATCACCGATCCGATTGCAATACAACTCCAAAAGAGTTAGAGATGAGTTGACTCTTATTGCCTCGGCGATGGAAGCCGCACCAATATCACCAATGTCATTGAAACCCACTTTCAGATCTGTCAGAGATTTGTTGATTTTAATTGCCTCAGCGATTGAGGTAACACCAGCATCGCCGATGCTATTGTTCATTAACTCTAGGACAGTCAGAGTTCTGTTAACTTTAATTCCACTGGCAAGAGAGATAGCACCATTATCACCCATGTCATTGAAATTCAGCTTCAATGTTGTCAAGGTCATGTTGACTTTTACTGCCTCTGCCAGGGAAGTAGTAATTGCTTTTCCTAGAGCACGCCCGGATTTGATATCGATGCTTTGTAGTTGGAAGCCACGACCAAAACAACGAGCCAACTCTAGATGAGCATCACTCTGCTCTCTTGTGCTTTCTTTGATTGCTTCCAACACAACGTACACACCATTGTCTCCATACTTGTCTACTTGGCCTATTAGACTCGTGACAAGAGCCATCGCTTGTTCAGGGCATTGCACGGCTAGAATGCTGCATGCGAAGAAGAGCACCTCTTTTAGCTCATTGAGGTATTTTGAGTCAGAAACTAACTCATCGCATGTAATTTCCTGATCTTGAATTTGACAGCAAATGTAGAACGCTGCAAAGCACTGTTGAAAACTTTTGTGTAAAAAGGCATAATGAAGACCAGGTCTCAGCTTACTGCCGCTGGGCTGAACAGACAGAAATCCAAGCTCGGGTAAGTCACTACCATCATCTCGCAGTTTGCTTTCCTCAACGTTCAAGTTGTCGTCACGCAAACCATTTAGGGCAATGGAGCCAAGACGTTTCAGTTGCGATTTGTACACGTCTTTAAGGTCATCTTCAGTTTCTGAGAGTCCTTTCCTTTTCCTGTATCTTCTTAAGACACATTGAATGATTTCAAGGTACAGGTCAGCCCTTTTTTCTGATAGAATCCCTTCAAACTCCTCACACAAAAGGCAAAGAAGTGCAGTATTTAAAGGGTTGGCCGCCATTTCCTTAAGGTGGTCATCATGCAACATCCTCTTCCACAGCTTTTCAGCCAAATCTGCTCTTGTTTTGAAGTACTTGACGATGAATTTTCGAGTGTGCTTCTTCGTAAATCCTTCGATCTCAAGCAGGGTGTCGCAAGATTTTCTTACTTTGATCCCCACTTCTTGCCTTGCTGTTGCAACAATGTGACATTTCGGGAGCACTCTGCCCTCAAGTATTTCTGAAAAAATTGGCAGCTTACTGGAGGGTAACTCGTCTAATCCATCCAATAATAACAAAATGTGGGACTGATTGTCACGGATGAACTGAAAGAATTCCTTCCTGACTCCTTCTTGAATGTCGCGTGTAAGAAGTTGTTCATCAATAGCATTCCAAAGATCAGACTTAATGTCACGACATTTCAGCAGTAAAACAGCTTTATATCTTGACAAGAATTCTTCAGGCTTTTGCTTCCTTGAGGCCCATTTGTAAACAAAGTATTTGCAGTAGGTGGTTTTTCCCACTCCTGGCTCTCCTTCAATTAACACTGTTCTTGGCTTTGAGCACTCTTCGTGCGGGTCAAAGAGAGAAGATACTTTGATACCCTTTTCAGTGACTGTTCCTCTTGTTTTCTTCCTTCTCACCACCTTGAGCCTGATAAAGATTTCTCCAAGACGAAACTGGAAGTCCTCACACCATGGAAACGGTGCCAACCATCCCTCACGGGTTTTGTACAATTGTTTAATCACATCGATGATATCATCTGGATCAAAAATACCTGAAAAAGAGTTTGGAAATAGCACTGAGTTATAAAATAGCTATGGACCTGAACACTGGACGTGCAAGAACATATCTCTAAATGTAATAAAAATTCTGATTTAAGTTCATTTGAGAAAAAGATCAGAATTAAGCTTCTATTTCATATTCTACAATGACAATAAAGCAGTTTCCTTCGCAAGAAATTATCCTAATAAATTTAGAGAACCACCTGAACCAGTGATTCACATCACAATAAAGCCCAGATTAACTCAGCTAAAAAGAAATAAGCAATTTAGTGTAAACAACTTAGTTAAAAACGTAATTGTGGGTTGTGTGTGGGTTTGTATGCAGAAAATGGAGCTACGCTATCGGTGGAAATATGGTGACGAGAAAACAAGAAGAAATTAGTTGAATGAAAAGCGCTCGTTCATACCGTGGGGATTAAGAGTGCCGATTTCGAAGACAAATTTCTGTTCTAGTGTTTTCTGGCTTCCCGAACTGCCTAAATGTAAGGAAAGGCCGCAAACTACCGTACGTTGTTTAGAAGGATAGGGAGATTAAAGTGTCTAGCGACTGGTTTGGATGCGTCCTTGTCATTTCTTTCTGTCTCGCGAAGGTGTTCTCGGAATCGGTCACTTAATCGTCTTCCTGTTTCACCATTGTATAACTTATGGCAATAAGTGCAAGTTATCCAGTAAATGACATTGGCGGAGGTACACGTAAAGGGATCTTAATGGATCTCTTGGGTTCCGATACTTTCTCTACGATATGAATAAAAGGACAAGTTTTGCATCGAGAGCGAGCGCATTTGAAAGTTCCAGATTGATCATTGGTTTGAAATGAAATGTTAGAGTATATTTTGTTAAAAGAGTATATCATATTAAAGAGTGGACCGCAGGAATTGATGACTCGTTTACAAACAGCTATGATTGTCGACCAATTTTCATTAAAAGCGTGGATTTTCCGTGTATTACTATAAACGTTTTTCTCTTTATGCACGACTGTAGACTGACCTTCTTCCTTGCTTTCTATCTTTGACGCCGTCAAGGTACCCAGCTGTTCCTTCACTTCTTTTACTTCGCCTTCCAACTTCTTAAGTGTGCATCTTAGGTTATTCTCCATTTCACTTTTTATCTGTTCTAGTGAAGTTTTGATGGTCTCTGAAAATTCATTTGTAACCTTTGATTCAATATCCAGTAGGGTATCAAAAGGACATAGTACATCATGCATATAAAGCAGGTGAAAAACGCATCAAGTCGATCATGGCGTACCATTTGCCATATCGACCAGGATTGCTATTACAATAGAGCTACATTGCATGCGTAGTCCATACTTGTATCATCATTTCTTCCTTGATGATAACCTAAAAGCATTGAATTAGCTGCCCTATACAGTTTCCAAGTCCTCATTACGCCTCGTTGGCATGGTATAATGAATTTTAATTCCCACGTACAAAAATCAAGTATGAAGTAGTATGAGAGAGGTACACTCGCCCTTAAGTGGTTGTCATGAAAAAAAATAACGGAGTGGTAATATAATCAGGTGTCGCCTTATTTGAGCCGTCTGTGGCTTCAATGTATAATTTACAAATCTATCATGACCTAATTTGGTCACCAAAGTTACGTATGATACTTATATCTTTCTTAGAGCGACTTCTTACGCGACGAACACATTGCTTTCAAAAGATTCGAAACGCACTTTTCGTTACAGGGCATACGATTACTTGGTTCACTGCATTCTACGAATACAAAGCTTTGCGGGTTACTTGAACATACTCGTTGTTTTAAAACTTGTTTCGTCTTATCAAAGCATTCATTTATCTTCTTACCTTCAATTTCATCTAGTTTCTCCTTGATGTTATCATCATTTACCTTCCACTGCCTCATGAGCTCACGATAATGTTCCTCATTATTAGGATCCATACTTTCGATCTCAAGATTATCTATATCAGCTTTAAATTTAGCTCCTCCCAGTCTTACCAGGGCTTCTCGAATTTCCAGCCAGTAAGTGGTAAAACTTGCATCGTCAACAGACGCTTTAGTGGCATGGCCGTATAAAGTGTTCCTGTAATACTTCACCCTAGCGATGTCATCGGCGATGCTTATGCTTTTCGCTGGGGGAAGGTTATCCCAGCCAAGGGCGGGGGGGCTTAAACCACAAATATTTCTGAGCAGCACTGTTAAAAGTGTGACGTCGAACGCTTTTGATGATGCAGCTGAATGAGCAGGAAACAGGTTTCCCCATTGTGTGGGACTCAGCACTTTCTTACTGCCGGTGTAAAGTGATTGCAGTGTAGAGTAATGTGGAGAGGTACTTGACAAAACCGTGTGCAGAGTCGCTGGTGGATGTATATTGTCAAATGTGAACCTCAGTGCCTCAGATCCCACATCCACCAGAAGACGGCACAGCCTAGCATAGTTAGTCGTCTCTTTCGTGGACGCAAATGGCGGTGAAGCTGTAGCCATGCACTCGAGGGTGACGAAACTACTTCTCAAGCACGTTATTCCATATTATGAAAAACGCCCATCACCAAAATCTAATAGGAGAAGAGCAATTTGCGATTACCATGACGTGATAGACCAGCGTAAACATTTCTGACAAGAAACGAAATCGTGAAACTGAAAAGTGATTGTTTATAGAAACGCGAACCGTTGGCATGGGTTTCTCTTCCCTCTTCATGATGTATGCTTGCTTGTGCTAATATACTATTCAAACTAGCATAAAATATGCTGGAATATCTTTATTAATCAACTTTGGCCTCGCCATTAAAACAAAGAGGATACAAATATGCGATGGAATTAAGTAATAAGTTAAGTATTTCAATACTTAGATAGAAACTTAGATATGAACACCAACAAATTACCAAGTGAGCTTCGCGTGATATCTTCACACCTGAAAATAACATGTTATCCTTACTCGTGAAAAGATCACTGTTGCAATGGTTGCATATAAAATTCGCGCCTTTCTGTGCATTTACACATTTACATTTACGCTTACTTACTTCGTATCACTTGTTATTTCATTTTATTAAGTAATTAGTTCTTGCAAGCTCCTTAAGTTTTGCCATTGATCGTTTTTCTGGCTCTTGGTCTTGCATTGGATATAACTTACATAGAGAACAACTATGGCTTTCTTGTCCAAAAATACTTTTGCTTATGGTTGGCTTATTTCCGAAATAAAAAAAAATCCTGAAGACCCTTATTTTAGGATTAAAGCCCTTTATTACTACATTGTAAATAACGGAAACGTAATTTGTATTTCCTTCCCGCTTTACTGGCCGTGCACGTCTTCCAGTTTTTAGTTGTGTCACTGTCTACTTAAGTGACATGTTGTTCGACTTTTAAAAACTTGTTATAGCGAAATGACTTCATTGGTGTTTATATAATAAATAGAATATTACATGCCGCTAAAAAAAGCAACAAACAAAGAGAAATTTCTTATCTCAAAGCGCGTAATATCCTATTTACATGTGTTATTGACCAAGCGTGAGGTCAAGATGGCTGGATATTGGCCGAGTTCTTTTTTTGCATCTTTATGGACCGAGACAAAGTCGAGGTCTATAAAAAAGCAAAGTAACCCCATTGTCGGTGTGTTCAATTCCCAATTTGGAGAGTCGTTGTCACTTCAAGTAAAGTATGCACAAGCTCGGATAATTTGTACACTAAAAACCAAATTTATTGTTGAAATCACTTGACATCTTAAATTAACATCGGATACTCTTTAGAAGTTTAAAGGAATCTTTCAGTGGCATTTTCGTGAATATTTCTTACTTCCGGGTGTTTATTCCATTCGAAACCGTGCCCGGCAGTCTGGGCAGAAACGTAGAATTATGAGTGTATGCAAAAGCTCGGAGAAATTGTTCACTAAAAAAGTAAACTAATTTTTGGTATCGCTTGACATTTCCAAACAAGAATCTGATATTCTTAGGAAGTTTGAAATAACCTTCAGGTTGAAATTTCTGATTGTCAGGCATTTAGTCTATTTAAGACTGTTTGAAAGCCAAACGATATGTTGTGACAGAAGGAAAAGGATTTTTAATGCACTCGTAATGGCTCGTAACGGGTTGTTAGACTAAGTATACATATTGGATCTCTCATCCTTTAGGACAAGGAGACTTGAGCCAACCAAAGTTCAGTTGGAAACTTCTTTCAGCAGAAAAACTCTTTTCTGTGGCAATCTGTAAACAAACTCTACTTGTGCAGACCTGCAAACAAAAATTTGCTGGCTTCTTCTGCACTGAACTTCAAGAAATTTCAATGTGATGGCTTCGTATCTTTACTGTCTTGAGTAGACGGCAGGGATAGTGGGGCGGGGGAAGGGCGAAAAGACACCTGTCTGAAGAGGCTATTAAATGCTATAAACCCCCTGATTAGTTGCGCTTCACTGCATTTCTGGAAATATACAGGTAACCAATAAAAATAAGTTAAATTAAAAACCGGAAGCACTGTCTTCCGACAAAAACAGACACATGTAGAGTTGATGAGTGAAACGGTAAGGCAGTTTTTTTTCAGCCAGAAAAGAAATAATTTACAGCCAAGTCGCCCAAAACCTGAGTCATGTTGCCCGAAATTTTTAGTTTGTTAGAAGTAAAATCTCTAACACTCGTTGTTTGTTAGGTTGATTCTTCTTTATCTCTTCTCTTCTCAAGCTGTTTCAACGGGGACTAATTCCTATCTAATGAGAAAAGTGTGAGTCACCGTTTCTAGGGTGACACTACAGATAACACTACTAGGCATATCAAACTCATGGGGTACAAATAGTCTTAACATGAATGTAGTGACCACGCCCACTTCAACATCCCACTCAAATCGAGTGTAATTTTTGAATGTTTTACCATCGTGCGGATTCTCTACGGAAAAAGCACTCAATGTACCTCTGAAATATTAAACTATAATATTGTGGCTTTCTCTTTCGCTAATTTTCTAACTTGAAGGTAAAGTTTTTCCCTCGTCATTTTTACCTTTTCTCCGAGCGGTTGCGTGAAATTAACAAGGCGTTTTTGATCAAAACACGACCGAGCGAAGGGTCTCAGGCGATATCTCTTTTACGCAGGCGCAAATTAAAAATATACCGTCAGAATCAAAAAGAGGAACAAATTTCCTTTGTTTTGATATGTAAAGTGTCGAACAAAAAGCAGATTTACCTTCGTCAAATGGCGTTTCAAAACGGCTGTATCTTCCTCCTTTTGATTTTTCCTGTTTTGTAAGCGTGAAAGCAGTAGGAGAGGGATCGGGAAACTCAGAAAGCGCTTCGGGAATTAATCTGCCATCGTTTACTTACAAGATAAACAAGTAAGATTTGTGAAGTTCGTTGAAGTATGAAGTCTAAATAAATGCCTTTTTAAAGCTTGTTTGCTGGATTTTTCGTAAACTTCCCTGATTAATTTTTCGTTTCAGCTTACTAGTCTATACTATTTCAAAGCAATGCCAAGACGAAGACGGAGAACCATGAGTCGGTCCTTTCAACAATCGTAAACAAAGTGTTTGAGCAATCAGGTATACGAGGTGTAATAATCAATAGCCGCATATCAGAAGTCTTCAGAAAGAAAGTATTCTGCCTTCAGAAAGCTGTCAAGAAAGCTAGTAATCGTGGCGGAAGGCAATTAAACGGGCCCTCGGTATCGATTTAATATCATATCGATCTCAATATCATACAGTTTTGTACCTTTCTTCCGTGGATTCGCCTTTCTAACGAGGGTGTACGTTGAGAATTCATTGCAAAATCGCTTTGTGTTTTTTAATTTCCCTCTTTGACCTGTCCGCCATTTTGAAAATTCGTAACGGAGAGCATGCGCATTACGTGGGGTTACTGGTTGCGTACACCTGGAACCGAGAAAAACAAATGTTCGTCGCACTGGGGAAAGAGTTTGATATGTGTCAATCTTCATGTATCGTCATCGTTCCATCTCAGCCAGCGAATCACGTTAGATTACGTATGACAGTTCCTACTCACTAGGTATGCGCCTTCGAGTTATTTGCGCAGTTACAAAATCATCAACCTTAAATTTCTTATTCTTACAGTTGAGATCGGCCAGAACAGAAACGAGATTGGTAATATAAAAATCATAACTAACCTACTGGCAGAATGTTATTCACATCTGAAGGGGTATCTTAGGAGAAAATTGCCTTAGAAGACCGTTACATAACAACATCATGATTACAAAAGTTGGAGAAGAAGGGGCGTTCACAAGTACCGCCCCCAAGTTGCTACGTGCTAGTCATAATAACCATCTAATCGCGAAACATGAAGGGTATCACACTTTTACACTTTTAAGAACGAGAGGTGTCGAACGTGACCTTTTACCAGAGAGATTCACTCTTCCTGGATTAACAAATTAAGTTAATTAGTAACATAGTTTTCTCAAGACATTATCACGAGTTCTAATTACCATAGAAACTGAACAACTGTTTCCATGTCAACTTCACGATCATAACGAGGAAAACGTGACCAAACTCTACCTTTAAGATAAGACTTCCAATAGTTATAAGCAGTAATCAACCTGCCTTTTTATAATTTGCAGGAATGATTTAAAGTAATATAATATTTACATTCCTTTCCCCAACACCAATATAAGGAAACCCTGACGATATTTCAGATTAAATATAGCTGTATTTTTATCGTTTAACAAGTTATGTCGCCCGAAAAAAAAAGTCAAGTCGCCTGAAGAAACAAATATTTAAAATATCTGAATTTCAGACTGTTAATAAGCAATAACGTTGAGAAATTTTTATCACTAAAGCGCTCTTCGTTTCCGACAACACCATGAAGATTCTTAAGAGAGGATGTCAGCATCCATCGAACAAATTTGCCACAGTGTAGCAAGTCACCCATAATTCTTTTTCTCTCCTACTTTCATATTTTGTAGCCCAATATGTCCTAATAATTGTGGTGTAGTTTTTTTGCGAAAATATATTTTATTTTTCGAGAAATGAACTGCTCAATGATGCATATTGACATTAGCTCTTAAAGCGTTGTTCGTTTCAAACAACAAAGGGAAGCGTTCTCCGTTTCTAACAAAAAAATTAAGCGTTGTTCGTTTGGTATGTACTCGTTTCTTGCTCACGGACATTTCGTGAGCTTGAGAAACTTTTTCTAGGTTTCTGCCAAAGCCATGAAGATTTTGACTACACAGAAATAGGTTTTGGGCGTCATGACTTCGGGCGAGATGACTCTCATTTATTTTATATATCATTCTTGTCACAAACACGAACATAAGGGCCAGCGGTTTCTACCTACAACTATTACTTGGAATTTGGTTTAGCCAAGCAACTGCACACTCGATTTTAGAGTTCTTACAGCTTTGTGCTACTGGAACAAAAGCAAATTAAAAAACAAAAAAAAAGCGATGACTTCTAAGGGCAAAGCAGATTTCTTCTTCATGCACCATTCAGTTTCTAATCTGATCTTCAACAGATTACCTGACCTCGGCATCAGCCAAAAGTCACCACAACCAAAAGTAAAATAT